GCACCATTCCTACATATATATATATATATATATGTATATCTATAATTGATACATTATATTAATATGGAATAAACACAATTTGTCATATACTTCTCACAACATCAAACCAACTTTTTTTTAAACAAAAGAACCTCTACTCAAAACCATACATATTTATGCAGTAATTAAACAAAATCGAACGACTTGCAACGCATAAATGAGCGACTGCACAACTAGCGGCACAACTAGCGGCACAACTAGCGGCAGAAATTCGTGAGTACTACTACTAAAAGAGGAGAGAGGAAATGTAATAAAAATGTACACTGATGTGAGCTGCAAACTTAAGTGCAGATCTAACCGCCGCGGCAAATCATCATGTTGGACTCTATGCATGCAGTTGATATTCAAATAGAACAGAACAAATGAGCACAGCTAACAACTATAGAAGTTAAAATAAGATAATTGATTGAGCTTTCATAGACAATTCTATTTAATTGTCTTTGCTAATTGTAAAAATATTTAAAGATTGTGCAGCCTTGGATACTTATGGAAAAACATAATTAGTCATTGTTTCTAATTTACCAGGCACGTGTTTTAAGCTTAGCACTTGTAGTCTAACAAATTGTATACGGACTTAAAACTAAATAAAAAATTTGAATATTTTTCAAAGATCACCGATGATATAATAATCGGTGATCTTTGCAATAATCGAAACAGCGTTGCATGGTCAGCCAAATTTCAATAAATTAACTAAAATATTTATTGTTGTATTTTCATTACTATTCGAACCCCACTAATAAATTCTTATTGTCATAAGACGCGTCAATTTCGACAAAAAAATTAACATTACAATTTATTATTTTTTATTAAAATTTTAATGTATTTTATTTTATACTATGTGACCCCGCAAACTTCGTGCATGTAACAGTCGATAAATGTTATATTAAATTTTAGGTAAACTAAATTTAGAAATTTATTAACGTAATAAAATGAATACAAAAAATTATGATCAATACTTTATTAGGACATTAATATATAATCAATTATTTCAATGGTCTGTCAGCAAGAAGTTATGGGTTGCAGTCCGATTGATTCTCTTCAGTAAAGTACCTTGTGATATACAATATTTTTTGTTTTTTTATCAGGCGCAAGAACAAATAAAGCAGATGGTTTGCTTACAGGTGAACATGCCACTTACAATTAACCATGAGAAAAATATGCATTTTCTAGATTCAGACCACAAACACTCAAGAATTGGTCTTGTGATTTATTTATCATAATGGCGAATGCAAGCCGTATAGGAAATTAAATCCGTTTAAACTCAAATGGCATATCGGTTGGGATCATTGAAATCCTCGGAATAAGAACTTCGTCACTTTTGAATTTTCCCTTGAGTATCGTTGCGTGAATCACATTGCTCATCAGTTTTGTTATCACCAATCGCGTTCCATTGCATAGTTTTGGTTGGTTTAGATTTCAAAGTACAATGACTACCGAACCAACCTTTAGTTGTAAACTGTGCGGTGGTAAACCAGGCACATTCAAGGAGTTCAAAAATTTAGTTAAATAGTTAGTAGCTTTTTCTTCGTTTGTTACACAGTCAATAGATTTGAATGTATGCAGAGTACCAACGATTTGATTTTGAATTACAAAGTTTAAGTCATCCACATCTTTGTTCTAAGCCGCCAAAATTGCTGGCTCACTCAACCATTTGTTATTTTTATGATTATCAATGATGTTCAGAAATACTTCATTGATGAGTTCGATGAGTTTGATGAGACGAAATTGCAAAAACTTGAAGAAAATGCAATTAATCCTCTCGATTCTTTAACATGCACACGGCCATAACCGATTTTTAGCAATTGCTTGGAGAAATCTTCATATATTGATGACAGTATTAATTTATTATATTTGATATTTATTATGTTTGAAATTTGAAATATTTGAAATATTGATGACACACAAAAAAACAAAAAGAAAATCAGTATCACTCAAATGTCGAACTGTAAACAGTTTGAAACAGAATTTATAAATTTATTATTTATGTCAAAGTAGTGGATTTTTCTAATATTTTATATTATATTCTGCTATTCGAAGCGGAGGCGAATCCAACCAATCAAAGATAATTAAAATCGGTCTAGCCGTTCTTGAGTTATAAGCAAACAATCTAGAGTACAAAGAAGCGCCACGCTCATACAAACGAAATACCCACTTCATTTTGCTGGTGGATTTATAATAAATCCACCCAACCTCATGCAACGATGTTCGATCGAATCACAACTGGTTGATGTTCAGTTTAAACTCATTGCAACCCACAATTGTTTTTATACGCCTGTTTCTTTTGCCTTTCTTGTTTTTATATGTCTATTTTATTAATATACACTGATTAGTAGCGAAGTGAATGGTAAAGAAGTCCCTGAAACAATTTTTCCATATAATTTGTTGCTTTATCTTCTTGTGCTGGAAATCCCCATATAAGTTTCACCTTTAAAATTTAGTTTAGAAGCTGCTCTTGTTCACAACGGCAATGAACTTCCCACTTTACCATTAGCGCACGCCGTTGGGGGAAAGGAAACCTATAATGAAGTCGCGAAAGTTTTAAAGTTAATTCAGTTTAACGAATTCAATTGGAAGCTATGCGCCGATTTAAAGGTTGATTTTTTGACTAAAGTGCAATTAAAGATAACAAAAATGTAGAAATCTGATTTAAAAAATGTACTTATATGTACTCTTTCTGTATTTTTGTTTTTGAAGACTTTTGCATTAATGACTGGTCTGCAACGTGGTTTTACGAAATATTGTTGGTTTCTGTGTTCATGGGTCAGCAGAGCAACAAAGGATCATTTTCTACGCTCATCTTGGCCAAAAAGAGAAGATCTCACAATAGGAATTCAAAACATCGCGAATAAAGCTCTTATGTGTTAGAAAGTTTTGGCACCTTTGCATATAAAACTTGGCCTAATCAAAAATTTTGTTAAGGCTCTGTAAAAAACCGAAATCCCTACTTCCGAATATTTTACATATTTTTTTCCCGGCATTTCTTTTGCCAAAATTAAAGAAGGAATCTTTGTTGGACCACAAATCAGAAAACTGATGAAGGATGAAAAATTTAATAATGTGTTAAATAAAGAAGAGTTGAAAGCATGGACTTCGTTTAAGCAAATGGTTATTGGCTTCTTGGGTAAAGAAAGAGATTCACTTTATAGAGAAATTTTTTCATCTTTAATTAAAAATTACAGTTTTTGGGGCAAATATGTCTCTAAAAATGCATTTCTTGCAGTCTCATGTGGACTTTTTCCTTCAAATTTTAGTGCAGAAGGTGATGAACAAGGTGAAAGGTTTCATCAGGATATCTCTGCAATGGAAAAAGATATCAATGATATTGCGACGCAAGCAAGTTGGAAGATTATTGTTGGACAATTATAAGAGAAACAAATCCACTATAAGAAGATTGCTCAAAGTATACATATACCTCATTATATTACATAAATTCACTTTTAATACTGCAGTTTCACGTTCGACGTCAAACTTTTATATAAAATGCAATATATTAATATTTAATAATATTAATTTTTAATTTTTAAATAAACTCTGTACAATTTTATATAATACTATTCAGATTTGCATTTTAAATTTTAAAAAATAAATTCGAAAAAATGATTTATCTGATTTGTTAATAAAAACCACTATTTTGGGCAAATTTGGAAAAAAACTACTATGGTAACTTTAGAAATAAATTTACGGGGCCATATGTAGGGTGATGTTTTGAGAAAAGTCAAAATAACGGTTTTTTGCAAATAACTCGAAAACGGTACACAGGAAAAATCGTTGTTATTTTCGAGTTCTACGGAAAATTTCCCTATAGGAAATATAAGTCTCGTCTTTGGAAATTTTTTGCTGTAAACTAGTTTATTAGCGCTTTTGAAGAAGGCCACTACAAATTATAACCCATGTTCTGCGTATTTTATTTTTGTGATTTTTTTAACACTTCGATATTTAACGTTATGCGTTAGATTATTATTATTAAAAAAGAACGAATTCCCGCGCTTATCCAATCGGTAAATTTTTTTTATTTTCACGCTTGCAACACTATTATACACATTCTGTCAAAGTTTAACGCATATCGTACGATTAGTTTTTGTTTGGCGTCTAAACAAAGAAGTCGAAAAATTTTCGTGTGGCGATTGGTAGCTGAATTTCATTCAAAAAAAGCGTCGTTGTGATTTGGCCAAAGAGATGACTTCCAACGCAGATAGTGACCCCACATTCATCGAACGCATCATAACTGCTGATGAGACATGGGTCTATGAATTTGACATGCCCAACAAACAACAATCGACCGAATGGTGCTTCGAAGGTGAACCGAAACCGAAAAGAGAACGCCAAAGTCGGTCCAAAATCAAGGTTATGCTGACTATTTTCTTCGACATTCGTGGTGTTGCGCACTATGAATTTCTTCCGGACGGTCAAACGGTCAATAAAGAGTATTATTTGGCCGTTATGCGTCGTTTGCGTGAGGTCATTCGCAAAAAGAGGCCAGATTTATGAAAAGAAAACTCATGGATTTTACAACACGATAACGCACCGGCTCACACAGCGTTGGTTGTGTCGCAGTTTTTGGCCAAAAATTCCACCAATATCATCAACCAAGCACCGTATTCTCCATATATGGCCCGTGTGACTTTTTTCCCGACTCAAATTGCCATTGCGAGGAGCATAGACGCGTTTTGAGACCATAGAGGCCATAAAAGAGAATTCGCTGAGTGAACTAAAGGCCATACCTTCGGCGGCCTATAAAACTTGTATGGAAAATTGAATCAAGTGTTGGCATGCATGTATTGCCGCAGGAGGAGAGTACTTTGAAGGCGATAATAAAGAAAATTATTAAAAATTAAAATTTTGGGTTTTTTTTTAATTCTCGTTCTATTTGGATCATAAGGTAAATACGACTATTACATCAAAAGCACAAATCAGCATTTATATACTCCTTAAATAATTAAATATTAAAAATATATGCATACCTTGTTAAATAGTTGTGGACAGTCTTCAAAACTACGTTTCCTGTCATGTTCTCCACTAAGACAATTGTATTTATATTTACACTCGTTGTATATATTGGCAGACTTGGAATCTATCGATTCATTTGAGTTATTTAAGGAATGTTTAATTTCACTGGGATTCAAGCTTAAATTTCGTGAGTGATTATTGTCAAATCCAAATTCCAAGCTGACAGGATAATTAAAAGTATTAGTATTTTGTCGAAATACCCTATTTTCTGCGTTAAAATCATTGTTTTTAGGATCAGATAACTCATAGTCTTTATAACCGCTATGTGGAAGGGAAGATATTAAATGCGAATCTTTACTAAAAATATTATTGCTATCTGTTATAGCTGGTTGGTAACTATTTTTTGTAGCGTGATTTTCGAGATTTGATTGTTTGTCTTTATATTTAAGGGTATTTTTACAAATTTTTTTATTTATACTAATTTGATTTTCTGTAGTAGCAAAAGACTTATTTATATTAGAAAGTTTTGATGCAGTACGAGGAGCCAAATTACCCGTTGATAGTATTGGCAGCAGTGTATTATTTGAAGAGTATTTGCAATTCTCCTGATGATGTATTTTATCTTTAATTCGATCTTGCAGAAGTAAATAAATGGCAGCAACATGATCATAAGTATTTTTTTTTAAACTTTCTTTAGTTTTTTCAGGCGCTATGCCCGCAAATTCTGACATAATGTGAAGTATATCATCATTCGGTTGAATACACGAAGTTCCGTCTGTAGCAGTATTAGACACACTTTGTATTTTAGATTCTTCACAACACAACCAATTATGCCGTTTTATTTGCTCTATTGTATAACGTTTTGTTGGGTCCAAAACTAGCATTCTTCGAATAAGATGTTCACAGTCTGATAAGAAAAGTTTTTACTTCGTGACAGGTTATCTAATGTTTAATAAAAACTTAATATTATATATATAAAGAACAATTACCTGAAGACATAAAAAATGGAATCCGAAATCGACCAGAAAGCACACGATCTCTTAAAGTTTGCAAACTGGAACCATCGAATGGTAATGCACCACAAACTAATACATAAAGAACAACACCAAGTGACTAAAAAGAGAATATAAATTAAGATAAGTACAAGGCAATAACTCTACACAGATATACAATTACTCATAAAACAAAAATATGTACCCAAATATCAATTTCTGGTCCGATGTATTGCTTTCCCTCGAAAACTTCTGGTGCAGCATATGGAGGCGATCCACACCATGTGGCTAATAATTCTCCAATTTTGAAATTGTTGGAAAAACCAAAATCGGCAATTTTTATTTTCATGTGACAATCCAGCAAGAGATTCTCAGCCTATAATAAAGTACACTTAATGCACATAAATAGAATAATTACTTTATTACTTTGAGATCTCTATGCACTATTCCTTTTTCGTGAATATACTCAACGGCAGATAAAATTTGAGAAAATTTAAATCTCGCAACCTTTTCCGACATTCTTCCATACCTAGCTATGTAATCTGTAATTTTAAAATAAATTACGATTCAGTTTTTTTTCAACAAGCAATAATACACATATTTAGTGAAAAGTATGCTTATAATAACGTACAAGAGTCTGCATACGCATTTCATTGGGAAAGTTCAAATTCTAATTTCTTGTATAAGATGTTTTCTCTGATATTGCCATTGTGGAAAATATAGACACTGGAAAAAATCTATTTATTTATTTCAACTAGGGGCCAATCGCAACATTAAACGCCAATATCAGTTGGCGGATTTGTAGTTATGAAAAAATTATAAAATTTTTCTTTATATGAATACTTTATTATCTTATAAAATTGTTTTATCAAAATGTTTTCCTTTAAATTATCTTCATCTCCAAATAAATGAAATGCTTTCACATAATTAATTTTGCAAAACTAGTAAAGGAAAATAAGTAAATTTTCAATTTATAAAATTATTTCGAATTATTTTAATTAGAATAATAACATATTATGTAAAAATATATCCGTATATTAAACTAAAAATGAGTGGATCATTTATTAAAACTAAAAAGTAGTTAGCGTCAAAAGTTGTAACTTACGCCTTTGATGTTGCCATTTTAATCTCAGGCAAATACTTGTCAGCGATTAGTAAGCTCATGGAATCGGCACTTGGTGAAATTTCCAAGTGCGCTTAAAGTAACGGCTTAAGAGTTAATCTTACTAAGACAGAACTAATTATGTTTACGCGGTAAACCAAAATACCTACCTTCAACTTACCTAGGCTGGATTGAATTGCATTAAATCTTTCCTCGAAGGCTAAATATCTTAGCTTCGTCCTTGATTTCAAACTAAATTGGAAAAGGAACATTGAGGAGAGAACTACCTTTGGACCTTTGGGAAACGATGGGGATTTGCAATGTATGTAGTTTACGGAATGTACACGACAATCCTCAGGCCTATCATAACCTATGGATTCCTGGTGGCTGGTGGTGCCAGACGATGGACAAAAAATGAAATTTGACGCGCATTGGAAAAGTACAGAGATTGGTTTTTTTGGGTATCACCGGAGCAAACGCCTCAAGAAGACTTAAACATAATACTACATCTTCAACCACTATATGTGTTTATTCAAGGCTGTGCTGCCAAAAGTGCTTCAGAAGTCTAAGATGTGGAAACCAAGGCAGTCCTACCGACTCCTGGATACTTGCAGCGTCTTTCAGGCCGAGATATATGCTATTGAAAAAGCGACTAATCTTATACAACTAAGTATAATTCATCCTGCGAATATCACGATTTTTGTAGATCATCAGGCCGCACTGAAAGCAATTGAATCCAAAACGATTAAATCCAATATTGTTTTAAAATGTCACACCTTACTGATGAGCATCAAAGATCAGAAGGTCTCTCTTTGCTGAATTCCTGGACTGGATTCCTGGATTCCTGGGAACTGTTAAGGATCACAGAGGGAACGATTTATTGACTAATCGCGAAGACTGTGAAGTCGCTAGAACTTCATGGCCTAGTTTGAAAAATTATACGAAAAGCCTTTGGGATTCAGCAAACCTGGAGTTCGTGTACTTACTGGAGTAATAACGGGCCACTGTATCATTGCGCCTATGCTCCGTCCAGGACTGCAGACAAGGTGACTTCAATATCTTGGAGATCGCTTTTTCACAGGCCTGGAAGATATAACGAAAGCAAACTTATCGGATCTCCTCGACTTCATCTGGAAAATCAAATTGTTTGACAAAGATAGAAGATAACAAAGGTTAGCAACTCGTCTCTCATATCCTAATCTTTGAGGGTATCACAATCTCTCCGAGTGGAAGTACTGATAACTGTCAGCACGTGCCTTCTCAACCTAACTTAGCGTCAACTATTGGATCAAGAGATATTTATATGTGATTAAAATTTAATGTTAAATTATGTTTTATTAAACTGCAATACCATTTTATACTTATAGTTACCAAGAATATGCACAAATACATTACAACAATGCACTGCACAATGGTAATGCACTTGCAGTTGGGCAGAGTTACCGTGAAGCTTATCCTTGACAACAGATTTTTAATTTAAAAATTTTCATAACTATTTATCAGCGAAAGCACATCCATCCCCACACGATGGGTTGGAAGAAAGAGTTGTACATGTAGATAGAATAAAACCGGAAACTAGTATAAGACCTTTGGTCTTACAATGCACTGTGAAATTTTTATTTCTACTCATTCACAAATATGATACACAGAAAAAACTATAGGAATATTTAAGCTGATGCTTTTAAATTATCACCCAAGAGATAAGGGTTGGAATATTTCAAGGCAAGGCATGCCTGTAGTGAAAGTAGACTAAAATCCAGTCCGGTGTCGGAGAGTATAGTCTAAAAGATTAAACAAACCATGAGAAGGCGCTAGAATAAAACAACTAAATGTCGTCTTTTAAAAAAGTGTGCACAGCAACTATTTCCATAGATTAGGGGTGGTTCATGTTGCATCATTAAGGGACACGGAAGTGTACAAGGTCTGTTTGCCATACCAAGGGTGGCTACTTCAACTACGAAAGAAAAAGGCTGTGCATAGTATAGATATCGTATGTTAGAACCGGCTTTTACACTAACAACTAAAAGAATTACAACCGATCCCCGTAAGGTTCCTAAATATGACAGTCTGGACGCAATATGCTATTTAACTGCTTAGAGCTGGGGGTGATTGTATAATGGGAATTAAGTAAACCTGAGTGAGATACTGATAAAACGGATCTCAGGCCTCTATTTTATCGGAATGGAGGCAGTAACTGCTACAGCCTCTCTGCAATGCAAACAGACCTATGGGGTCAAAAAGCAGTTACACGTCCGAAGCGTAAATAGCGGCAAACATGAATACAAAAAAAAAAAAACAGAAATGTGAAAGCATGAGAAATCAGGATTGTGCCTTACAGGATAGTAGTATATAGGACAGATTCAACAATAAGAAGTCTAGTAGATATGCTATAAGATGGTAAACGAGGGATGTTATTGTGGACATCAAAAAACTTTACGAATTAGCAGCTATTGGGTAAAATGATGAAAAAGCAAAAAGTTATTAAAAAAGTATGGCTGCCCAACATCACAGTTACCCAAAAAGAAAAATGAGCACAAAAGGAGTTTGGCAATAGCATTGAAACTAAAGTAGTGAATCGAAATGAAACACACAAATCCGGAAATACAGATGAAATATCATTAGCAAAAAATGCTAACAATGGTATATTGACTGTAAAGGACCTTACAAAGGAAAAAGCATATCAATCTAAAAAAGTGAAAGAAAAACTATTTCGAAAAAGAAAGCCTAAGAAAGAACTCAAAGAACTAGACTCGGCGCTTTCACACACCACTTTAACAAATTCTATTTATGCGGATATCCTGCATAAGAGAAAGACTGATACTGCTCTGAAATCATTAGGTGAAAATATCAAATCAAAGTGTCGCACTACGAAGAATGAATTTACTTGAAATCCAAGACGTAACTACAAAAGAGGTGCAATTGATCTTAGAAAATATTAGTGAAAAAATAGCATACATTGTCATATATTATAATATACTTAATATATCATAATCATAATTATGCATAATATATCATAATCATAATTATACATCATTATATCATGTGTGTGAACCACACCTAATTATAATTATATTGTAAGACTCTCTTTTAGTTTTTAAGACAATTACTATAATTTTAGATTTTAAGATTTTTGAGAAACAAATAAAGAGTCAGTTATAAATGTACTGCAGAAGAGTGCGTTTCATTTCAACTCAACTTAACTATATACCATTTGATCAAAAAAGAACGAGAAGTTAAAAAAACACGCAAAATTTTAATTTTTAATATTTTTCTTTCGAACTTTCTAGTGAGCGGACGTGTTTTTAAGCCGGTCACGGAAAAATTTAAATTTCAGTATAAAAAAAAGTACATAACAATCACTTTTAAAAGAATTACTTTTGTTATTAATACAAAAATAAAAAACAGAACATTCTCGGACAAAAAAACAATTCCTAAAAGTTAAAAGGGCATAAAATATTAATTTGAAAATAGCGCGCGCTTTTTCGATTTTTGTTGATTTTTGCACAACTTTAATATATAAAAAAAAAACTCAAATAGCTGACAGAGACAGCAAATTATTTTCTAAAGCTCAAAATAAAAAATAAAACGTGAGCAAGCATTCAAACAAAATATCAGTGCGGTTTTGTGAATATATAAACAAAACAAAAAAGTGCTGATAGAGACAGCTAGTATTTTATTACAAACGTGTTCCACAAAAGCTGTAATTGGAAGCCAGCAATTCATCACAACACAACACAACATCAAAACCAACATACTTGCTAACATTGGATTTTGGAATTTGAAGATATTTATTTTATTAATTATTATTATTTTTTATTATTATTATTATTATTATTATTATTCTTTGTATTATTATTATTCTTTTTTTTTCTCTTTTTGTTTTTATTTATATGTTTAATTATTAGAATATAAAGTATAATATTTTACACATTTTCATTTTATTTTTTACATCTTCATTTTTATTTTTATTATTTTTTTTCTTTATATTAATTTAATTTAATTTTACTTATATTTATATAGTTAATTTAACTTAATATCAATTAATATTAATAGTAGTAAAATTAAATAAATCTTATAGCACACCTGCTATTTGCATATATAACAACGTATGCAAATGAGCAATCAAAATCTAGAAAGAAGACATACGATAAGCATTCCAAGTAAACGTAATGCTTATTTGGTAATAGACGCATCGAATACGTTGTCTCTGAAAACTACAGAAACTGACAAAAGTTTGTCAAACATTGCACCTTCAGCAGTTTCGCTTGCATTTTCCGACTTAGCGAGTCCAAAAAATAAAATAAAGGTCCAAATAGGCATGGAACGCTATGTAAATATGAAACGCAAACTAAGTCCTCAAAAAAGCAATTCAAAAGGTGCTAAAATAACTAAAACTATCAAAGATAGTGCAACTACAAACATTCTTTCTGGCAATAGATT